TTTTCGAAGAAATGAGAGGATAAAATTTTTTTGCTTTCTCAAACTGGATTTCCGTGATAATATTCAGATTCGCATTTGCATGTGTCACAATTTGTCTGTAGAGCCCTTTTCAAAAACATCTCCAAATTCTAGTTTTTGGGAAATTTGTAGGTGGAACTAAGATTATGCGTCGCAGTGTATTTCACCCGAGTAACCACTGTCCTCCATAGAACCCTACGCCCTATATCACACTGGAACAAACGTCACACCTTCGGAGGATGTAACGCAACTTCATCGCTCGCCGCTCGCAACAAAGTCACGCGACAAAAGCCCATTGTGAGAATGTCCTATTTTGATTTCGCCAAGTAAAAAGGGTGGTGAGTGGCTATTTTTTTAGCGCAATGTATTAAAATGAGCTTACTATTCTATGCCTTTTTAGTAAAACTACAGTTGACATCATCACGTTCGATAGTTACGCCTATCTCTCCCTATCTAGCTCCTTCTTTGTCAATTATTTTGCCGTACCACCTAGGGTCCCTCACATTCTGTCTGTCAAAATTTTGCTAAGATGAGACAGAATACCATATTTCCCGATTTATCTCGTTCTTGTCAATTTTACTTGGCTGTACGCCTTTCTAGAACTTGCCCATATTGCTCTAGAGATTTCGAATTCCAATGCACTAAAATCGCATCTCTCTACAATAAAGTATATTTGATGCTCTTGAAACTCACTTTGACACCTTGAACCTATGTATTCTGGCGTACCAGGTATGTTGTACGATATTGTTAGTTTGTGTACATGTGTCCTCCATTCAGAATGTATCATTTACAATTTAGATTGCATTGAAGAAGTGTTACAGTTAATTTCACTGGCCCTATTACTAGAAAAAACTTTTATTTGCGTATCTGAGAGGAGAAGCCGCGTTCGAAATTTAGACGATTCTTCTCGGAGCATTTAGATACAGTGAGAATAACGAATTAAGGGTTGGAATTGCATAAAATCCCCTGTTTCATCTACTACATTTACCCCTCATTCTCCCATCTCTCCAATTGCCTTCGCCGCCCTTCGAATTTCTCATCCAACCTGTCTGACATTGTTTCATGATTTGGAAGCATTCGGAGGCAGAGTCGGAAGTGTGTCGCGTAGCACGAGGGCATCGACGCTGTTGACACCATCGACCATTAAAAGGTAAAGAGCTCGGGGAAGAGCGGTTGGAAGGAGCCAAAGCAGTAGTGGGGCAGTATTGACAAAGAACTTCTCAATACGTGGCTCACCTTGTTTGCACCGCAACCCTTCCCCTTCAGCCTTCAGGCGTCTGGCCTGAAAGCTGCCTCAGTCAATCAAGGGTGCATCGAGTTGCATCAAGTCGCCGCGCCATGCCGAGTGAGCCATTTGAGAATTAGTTTCTGTGGACTGCCAGGCTATCAGTTCGTAAAGTCTATACATATATAAAGTTTTTCTAGTAATAGGCCAGAACATGAAATTACTGTAACATTTTCAGATGCGAAATCTATTTGTAAATGGGATACATGTCTGAATGGAGGAACATGTACCACAACTAACAATATCGTTTATAAATGCCTGTGTAAGCCAGAATACATAGGTTCGAGGTGTCAAAGTAAGTTTCAAGAGCATCAAATACAATTTATTGTAGAGAGATGCGATTTTAGTGCATTGGAATTCGAAATCTCTAGAGCAATATGTGCAAGTTCTAGAAAGGCGTACAGCCAGAGTAAAATTGGACAAGGAATCGAGATGATCGGGAATATGGTATTATGTGCTATCTTTATGCAAAATTTTTGACAGAAGAATGTGAGAGACTAGGTGTGGTACGGCAAAATAGTAAGTGACAAAGAAGGAGCTAAATAGGTAGAGATAGGCATAACTATCGAACGTGATGATGTCAACTGTAGTTTTACTAAAAATGCATAGAATAGTAAGTTCATTTTAATACATTGCGTTAAAAAAATAGCCGCTCACCACCCTTTTTACTTGGCGAAATCAAAATAGGACATTCTCACAATGGGCTTTTGTCGCGTGACGTTGTTGCGAGCGGCGAGCGATGAAGTTGCGTTACATCCTCCGAAGGTGTGAACTTTTGTTCCAGTGTGATATAGGGCGTAGGGTTCTATGGAGGACTGTGGTTACTCGTGGTCAACTCTATCGAGTATCTGGCAAACCAAGATGATGTAGTACCCGTAAGATTGAAGGCCCAAGCCAATGTAGTGTAATCCTATTCGCGCAGAATTTGTTGGATCAAAAACCTTGTCTAGCGGATTCGAATGTGAAAGTTACGAATATTTTGGTTGTGGTCAAGATATATTAGTATTACTGTATTACAGATAAGAATCCATGCCTCTCGAAAACATGCCTGAATAATGGCACTTGTGAGCCGATATTCGATGGGGCGGATTTTCGATGCAATTGTGGACCATATTATCAGCAGGAATATTGTGCATGGTCGAAACTGGTTTGGAGTACGTTTACGAGAGATTTTGCTTATTTCAGCACCGCCGCCATTGGTTGAGCAATGCCTTCTGTGGGTGACGTATGCACGAGTATCGGAAACACTGTTCTGTATCCTTCTTACTCCTCCTCTTGCTCCAAACCGAAATCCGAAATTGGAGGACTTAGAATTTGAAGTCTGAATGGTGGTGTGGTCAGCTCAACGTAACCCTTATGAGAAGAAGCTCTTTCCATTTGAAATCATTTAGCATATTGAAGGCGTTTCTTAAGGTAGCACCGGCGAGGTTACAATTCTGCGTTCCCTGGCTTTCGTGCATTCCAAACCTTTTGAACAAGCAATCATTAGTAAGCTTCAAAATATCTATATCTAGCTTGGTCAGATAATGTTCAATAAGACAAAAGCTATACATTAGAATTTAGAGTTGTGGATTTAGTTTATCCACCGGAGTGGGTAATCTCGGGACTTATCTGACAATTGATTCGATGACCGCATTTAGTCAGCGTTTTCACTTCAAGGCTTTTTAGGCTTTTCCTAGCCCTCCAAGACAACCAGAGGAGGATCTGAACGGGATCAAATTCTACTGCCTGGCACTGACCCTAGGGTTTCTTAACCCACCTAGAGTTTCCTTTTCTAACTTCTAATTCTCTCTACAACAACAACATATACATTCTAAAAGCTAAAACAAATTTGACAGGAAAATTGTCTTTAGGGACAATTTCACCCAATTTTGAGGGAAAGTTGGATGCGCTAAAAAGAGGCTGGTGCCATGAGTACGCGACGAGCAAATTCGACCGTAGGTTTAAGGCAGTGGTATGGAGAACGTTGCCTATTGGAGAGGAATTAGAGGGGGTACACAAAGGGTGCGCTGGTTGAGGAAAAATTGAGAGAAAACCCACTTGATACCCGAAAAAAGGGATCTCCCACCTCCCGTTGATTTCCACTTCGGGCGTGCCACTGATCAAGACGACCTGGTTTGCACGTGCTAACCCTGATAGCTGATTTCATGCCGACACATGCCATCCTCTCACTGATGAAGCTTAACCTAGCAAGACTAAAACAAATACCCGCTTGACATGAAATACCTTTTCAAAATGAAGAACAAATTACGGCGGTGTCGACAGGATATTGACAGGATTGGGTTAGCCACGCGGCTATGCATCTCTCTATTTCTTTCTTGTAGGCCCCTCGTCCTTTTGCAGTACGCACATCTCCCCTTGTTCTATGTCTCACTCGTTATAACTTCTTCCTTTAATGTCGACACTTACGCTGCGCAAGTTGCGTAGCCCAAGGGGTATTTCCTTCAATGGGTTATTGTGGCAAAATTGCGTTTAAAACAAGTTTATGACCACGAGCGTCTTGCAGTTACCTTCGCCAACCTACACGCATGATATGAATACTGTTTTGATTTGTTTGGGTTGAAGGCGCTAGCACGTCCACCAGTTGGTAGGTGTTGATCATTTCATCCAAAATGAATGTAAATAGCGAACTTTTGGGTCGGTCAGTTATAAAATAGAGCAAATAAATCAGCTAACAACATCTCATTCAACATCTCATTGTACTATTCGAAGCGGTCTCAGCCCAGTTCTGGCGCCCTTCTCATTGGTCGGCACTCTTCTTTGTACGGGAAATACGGTAAGGAACTGGAGCTAAGAAAGGCGCCTGTAACCGAGCCGGTACCGTCCAGGACGAGCAGCGTGGCAATCTTCAAGGGGATGATTAGCAGTCCTGCTTGTCTGTTCCATTACTGATCAGTGCGGAGTTCTACTATTTGCGGAAAAGAAAGCCTGTTGGCTTCCACATCCGGAGGGCATAGATGTTTAACCCTTTCGGACCTGAATTTTTCCCCGTGGAGAAATTTTTCTTCTAGCTATTGTTTATTACTTGTGAGCATATAGGTATCATTATGGCGAAATTTGGAAGCTATTCGATCACAAACAAAGAAACTAAGAAGCTTTGAAAATTGGCCCACCTTCTTAGTTTTTAAGCTTATGTCGAAACAATTCCAAATTTCATAGTTATGCCGAAAAAGTTTATAATCTTGCACAACATTATAACCCATAATTTTGATTTAAGAATGGATCTACTTCAAGTATTTTAAGAAAAAGTGACACTTACTTGGCCGGTTGCGGGGACCAGCGCCGATTCATTGTTGCACTTGTACACAAATACTTGTAATACTAACAGCAACACACAATGAAATGGCAGGTTTAGCTCATAATTAGGAAGGGGAAGGTTGACTGAAGCAACCTCTAGCAGGATTAGAAAAACCATGCTGTTTCAGCGGCAATGCAAGCGTTTGAATTTGGTGGTGGCAATTGCCACCGCCAGGGCCGAAAGGGTTAAACAGGGTCAACCGTCACGTTGGACAAATTTCAAAAATTTTACGACCCCCCCTTCTGGAGGGCCTCGATACGACCCCCCGGGTCAACCCTACCGTTGGTACTTTTTGGAAATTTTTCACGACCCCCCTCCACCACCATGAGACTCAGGAGGTCCACCAATAACGACCACCACCCTTACCATCAGAGCTGTTACTATAGTATTTGATTCTGACAAGGGAGGTCGTTCAGGGTGTGGAGCACTTTTTGAAAACGGTTTTTTGCATGCTGTAGGGGCTCACACGGGGACTACAGCACTGTGTTCCATTTTCGCTGAGCGGCCCCCTGAAGAGTAAGTATTGTACCGAATTTTAACCGCAATCCGGTAGAAAAATGTTGTAGCGCCAGATGGGCGCCAAATGGCGCCGAAGTGGCGTAAATTGAGCAATCGGAAAAAATGGATGTCATATTCGTGATCAGGGCACTCGATATTCCTTAAATGGAAGTTTTAGAGAAAACTGAGATTTTGACCAGATCCGAAAAATTGGCCATTGATAGTCAGTAGCTCATAGTTGCCTCAGCCGGTGAACTGCAAACGAGTTCCTTGTTATCCTTCCCAAATAGGAGAAGTTCTACTACCGATTTAACAATGGCGGACGTAATGTACTGTAGGACAAGCATGATGTTGAAGCCGGCAGATTCTTCTCTCCATCGGTGGTGCAGAATATTCTCTATGAAGCCGAACTCTAGATTCCGTTAATCACCGCAGCATTCCGCTTTATTTTCGCGCAGCGCTCGTTTTCAAGTCGCCCGCCGGCGTGCATGACGACCTGTAGCCCATGGTCACCCCCTTTTTCGAAGTTAGGTCAAAATCTCGATTTTTCCCGAAATTTTGCCTATAGGGGTAAATCAGGGTCCTGATCACGAATATGGCGTTTTTTTTGGCGTCGGCGCCATTTGGCGCCAGTTTGGCGCTGCAAATTTATTCCGCCAGTTTTTATAGAAAACCCATTTGCAAGGGCTGCTGATGGTCCTGATTGTGTGAATATAGCGTTAATTTTGACGCTGAAGCAATTTGGCGCCGATTCGGAGGTGATAATCAAAAATGCAAAATGCCCCGTTATGGTGCGACTCGGCACTGCCGAGTCGAACCACAAGTCCCTTCCTTCAAAGCCACCACGCTATCCACTTGACCACCAGACCACTGCGAGCAGCAGGATGCCGACGACGCTTATGAAACCTCCGCACTTTTTCAGCACTACCACTGACAGAACTTCAATTTTGAGCGAATTTCACCTTGTTTTCGATACCATCTTCATCAGTACCCTTCAATATGCAGGTGGTCTTTTCTACAAGTCCGAAACGTCACTCCAAGGCTGCAAAAACCACCCATTCTTAACAAATTTTTTCGACCCTTTTTTGGCCTTCAGGGGGCCGCTCAGCGAAAATGAAACACAGTATTGTAGTCCACGTGAGAGCCCCTACAGCATGCAAAAAACCGTTTTGAAAAAGCGCTCCACACCCTGAACGACCTCCCTTGTGAGACCAGTTTGAACAGCCTTGTACCTCCACCCTTCCATAGCCACTGAGCGGGGGCTGGGGGTATATACAGGGTGTCCCAAAATTATGGGCGCCTACACACAGCAATATATTTCAAGCTTCTAAACGGACGATGCTGACTGAATTTACACATAAGGTAAATTGCATCATCCCCAACAATGTGGAACAACTAGATATCGAAATACTCTCCAACGCGACTAATGCAAGCTCGAAGTCGCTTCTTAGGCTTCGCGCACGTTGCACGCAGGAATTCCTCGTCTATTTCTTCTCAGGCTTCCTTCAATGTTCCTTCCAGTGACTCGAACTGTGAAAGAACTTGACACACCTTACTTTCGCTCAACGACCACACTAAGAGGTGAGGTGGGCGCGAACCTGGTGAAAATGACGGCCGTTCCTCGGTGCCAGCAAAGTCGGGCAACTGAACTCGGCACCACACTTGGAGGAACTTGGCCATGTAGGCCTGAGCACTTTTCTGCTGGAAACACCTCGGGTTATTTTCACGGTAGGACTC